CAAGGCGCGAGACAGGAACAGCAGGGTCGGTAACAAGAGAGGCAAGGACCCGAGGGACAAGGGGACGAGCAGCACGGAGGTAGTCAGAGAACGGAGGAGGTGCAACAGCAAGGGACGAGGGAGGAGGGGACGGGAGGAGGGGAGGACGAGACGAGTGGGAACGGAGCAACATAGGGTGGGTGGGCAGGACAGGAGAGACGGGACGAGCACGGGAGGGACGGCGAGCCCAAACGTGAGACGGAGGGGTAGGGTCAGGGGACAGCGGAGGAGACACAGGAGGGGAACGAGGAGGAAGACGGGCCGGAGACGAGTCTGGCGGCGGGAACACAGGACCGTAGACAGGGAGGTCAGGAGGCGGTGGGGGAGACACCGGCGCGCGGTCCGGGGAGGGAAGGCCGAGCAGGCGGAGAGCGGAAACCGGCGGCGACGGCTGCTGCGGCGGCGACGACGGCTGGGCCGGAACTCTCGGACCAGCAGAGGCAGAACGACCGTCGGCAGAACACTCAACAGCAGCACCCCCAGAACCAACACCCCCAGAGCGAGAACCCCCTCCAACACCAGCGGCACCCCCAGAAGCCGCAGGACGAACACCCTCCTCCACACCAGCACCCCCAGGGGCCGAGAGCAGCGGCGGCAGTGGCGGCAACGGCTGCGGCGGCGGCGACAGCGGCGACGGCTGCGGCAGCGACAGCGGCGGCGGCGGCGACGACAGCGGCGACGGCTGCGGCGGCGACGGCGACGGCGGCGGCAGCGGGGTCGGCGACTGCGACAGTGGGGGCGGAGGCACCGGGGAAGGGGGACGCGGCAAGGACGGACCGGGGGTACCACCAGAGTCAGCAGACTCCTCAACGGGGACAACCGACGGGAGGGGAGTGACGTGGGAGACACCAGACGGGGCAGGACGAGGCGGGAGAGGGGCAGGGGCTACCGGGGGAGAGGGAGCAAGGAAAAGGGGGGGGGCAACTGGGAGACCTCGGTGAGGGAAGCGGCGGTAGAAGGAGACGGACTCATCAAAGGTGACGTCACGAGAGTGGAGGAAGCGGTGAGACGGCGGGTGGTAGAAAAGCCAGTCAGACGAGTCCAGGGGGAAACCGAGAAAGACACAGGGGACAGTGCGGGCAGTGAGCTTGTCCGTGCCAGAGGCACGAACGTGAGCAAGGCAGCCCCAGACGTGGAACGCAGACGCGTCACCGGGGGACCCGGTCCAAAGGAGGGTCGGCGAAACCTGCGGCTGCTGGGAGCGTGGCCACAGGTTAAGCTGGTGAGCCGCGTAGCGAACAGCGAACGGCCACAGAAAATGGGGGGCATCGGCATGGATCATGGAGGTACGGGCGACCTCCATGACCAAGCCGATGCGGCGCTCAGCAACCCCATTCTGCTGTGGCGAGTCCGGCAACGTGTACGACTGGGTGATGCCCTCCGCACGACAGAACTGTCCAAGCCGACCAGAGGCGAACTCGCCGCCACGGTCGGAGTGGAGACACAACACGGGGAGACCGCGGTGGAGACGCGCAGCCACAACCCACGGGAGAAGAACGTCGGGCACGTCGGCCTTCCGCTCCAGGGGAAACACCGTGGTGTAGCGCGTGTAGTCGTCGACAAGCACAAGGAAGTAGCGCTCACCGCGCGGTCCGGGGACGGGGGCAGGGCCCCAAACGTCCAAGTGCAGGGTCTGAAGGGGGGCAGTAGCAGGACGCAGCGAGGAGGAGTGAGGAGCACGGCGGAGCCGACCCTCGACGCAAGGCGTGCACGGTGGCGCAGTCGAGGGAGGAAGGGCAGGGAGCGACGCGGGGAGACCTAAGACAAGACCGTGCTGGGACATGTGACGCAGACGCGGGAGAGCAGGGTGACCTAAGCGGTGGTGCCAGAGAAGGGAGGGGTGAGTGAGGGACCGACACGAGCAAGCTGCAGCGACCTGGGAGGACGCACCAACCGGGGGGGAAGCGGTGTGTAGGGTAAACAGACCGGACACCGGGTCCCGGGGGAACGTCGCAAGGGGGGAACCTGAGACAGCCTCAGAACAGACAGCGAACCGCTCGTGCCCGGGGAACGTGGTGGTGACGCCGAGGTCCTGGAGACAGCCGACACCAACCAGGTTCCTGGAGAACGAGGGAACGTGGAGGCCAGTAAGGGAGCCCGAGGGAACTGCCGGACAGGGAAGGGACGTAGAACTGCGCGCGACGACCGGACCCGCAGAGGGGTCAGCGAGAGAGACAACAGCAGGTGCAGCAAGCGGCGTGAGCGTGGAACGGTCGCGGAAGAAGCAGGCAGAAGCACCAGAGTCGAGAGTGAAGGACAGCGACGCAGTGGCGGGGGCCGGGGACGGACCCGGTGCAGCGACTAGACTAGGCAACCTAGGCAGTCCTACGCCTGTCGCAGCAGGGGAAGCTAAGCTACACAAGGGTGAAACACCTAAACTAGAGTACACAGGGTAGTAAGATCCATCAACACTAGAAGCGTCAGCATACAAAGCATGCAAAGCAGCACCTATCTGATCCATGTCTAACTCAAAGATCGGCACGCCCTGGCGGAGCAGGCTGTGCCAGTCAGGGAGGTCCGGGGCCGGGCCAAAGCGACGACGAAAAAGATCGTCGAGGCGGCGGAAACAGCGGGCGGTCGGGTGCGGGCGGCGGCACAGAGTGCCGCGGAGAGGCCCGGTCTGAAGCTGGTACTGGCAGGTCACAGCACTGGAGCCGCTGGTAGACGCCAAGCTGCGCGGGCCGCCACCACGGCCACCGCCTCCGGAGGTGCCGGGCCAACCAGGCGGGAGACGAGCCCACGGCTGCGGCGGGTGCTGCTGGGACGGCGGCTGCGGCTGGGGCTGGTCCTGTTGCTGCTGGGACTGCTGCTCCTGCCCACCGGTGGTAGTCCCCTCAGGCGGACTACCGTCACCACCACCACGACCACTACCACCTGCGTCACCACCCCTACCTCCCTGGCGGCCACGGCCACCGCGACGCGAGCGCTGCTGCGGGTGGACAGCAGCAGCCGTCTCGGTAAGAGGGGTCGCTGTGGCGACCGCAGCCGAAACGTCAGTGAACGTGCACGGGGATGGGGCACAGCCGTGAAAGATAGAGACTGGCGGCGCACCGCTCGACTGAGCGATAGTGCGCTGGCGAGTCTCGATCTCAGTGAGGGTGTCGACAAAGGCGATCAGGGTGAGGTCACCCGGGTGCTGGCTAAGAAAGTGGTCGCGAGCACTAGCGAGGCGGTCTGGCAGGCGCATAGCGATAAAATAGAGCGTCATGCAGAAAGGAGGGGGGAGCGCAGTGAGCTGGGCAGCAGTACTGGCAGTGCGATAGCGAGTCTCTAGGGCACACAAATGAGTGGCAAAATCTGCGACAGTAGGGAAGGCAGCCAGGTCTGGGAACAGCATCGGAAAGAGCAAGCGGCCAGCAGAAGCGGAGGCAGGGGTGGAATAGCGAGCAATAACGGCGTCTAAATAAGCTTTGGCCGTTTCAACAGTAGCAAAACGCGAGCGCTCAGACACAGGGAGGGCGTGGCTAATAGCAACCTGAGCTACTGCATCGCGTGAGTCCCAGATCGCACAGGCCAGCGCAGCAGTAGAGAAAGCCTCACGGTCATCAGAGGAGGGGTCAGCAGGGAGGGGAGTAGGTGCAGGGGGACGGGGGAGCAAGCCATCAGCATGGACAACCAGAGAGTGGCCATCCTGGCGCTGACCTGTAAGCTGGCGGCGAAGATCGGAGAGCCAGGCGGCGAAGTCAACCGCGTGGCCCTCAGCGTCCAGGCGGAGCACAAAGTCAGCCATCGTGCAGGGTCAGCGGCACAGCTCCTCAGCGACACAGCGGCACAGCAGCACAGCTCCTCAGCGGCACAGGAGCACAGCGGCGCGGGGACACGGCGGCAGCACTCTCCAGTAGGGCAGCAGCTAGGCGTCCCAGCGCAGGCAAGCAGAAGACACAGGGCCCGAGAGGACACGGCAGGCCGAGCAGGGGAGGCGGGCAGGTGCTCTGGGGCCGGGCTGGTGCTGGGAGGGGCCAGGCTGGTGCTGCTGGGGCCGGTCGGGCACGAGGAGGGGCCGGGCAGCGCTGAGGAGAGGCCGGGCGGCGCTAGGAAGGGGCCGGGCGGCACTAGGAGGAGGCCGGGCGGCACTAGGAGGAGGCCGAGCGGCACTAGGAGGAGGCCAGGTGGGCGAGCGCTAACAGCAGGCGCGACAGGGGCCAGCGGGCGCGACGGGGCCTAAGGGGCGCGACGGGGCCCAGCGGGCACGACGGGGCCCAGGGGGGGCGCGACGGGGCCGAGGAGGCGCGACGGGGACCAGCGGGCACGACGGGGCCCAGGGGGGCCACGACAGGGCCTAACGGGCGCGACGGGGCCCAGGGGGGGCGCGACGGGGCCTAGCAGACGCGACGGGGCCTAGGAAGCGCGAAGGGGCCCAGCGGGCGCGACGGGGCCTAGTCGGGGCGCGACGGGGCCGAACGGGCGCGACGGGGCCCAGAGGGGGGGGACGCGACGGGGCTTAGGAGGCGCGACGATGCCTAGGAGGCACGACGGGGCTCAGCGGGCTCGACGGGGCCCATGGGGGGCGCGACGGGGCCTAGGAGGCGCAACGGGGCCCAGCGGGGGCGCGTTAGGGCCTAGGGGTCGCGACGGGACCCAGCGGGCGCGACGGGGCCTAGGGGGAGCGCGACGGGGCCTAGGAGGCGCGACGGGGCCCAGCGGGCACGACGGGGCCCAGGGGGGGCGCGACGGGGCCTAACGAGCGCGACGGGGCCCAGGGGGGGCGCGACGGGGCCTAGGGGGCGCGACGGGGCCTAGGAGGCGCGACGGGCGGAAGCGGTAGGCGGGGGGATCCTAACCTAAGTGTGATACCATGTTAACGTAGAAACGAATGATTACTAGAGGTGGAAACCTAGAACAAATACTAGTTGGTTGTACTCACTAGAAGCATACCTCAGTCTAGCCTATAACTTCTACATAGATAATATGTATAAGTCGACAATACATGCTTAAAATACAGAATCTTTAGACTAGTGTACCTTTTCTAGCCCAATTAATTCCGTCGCTGTATGTTTGACATCCCCCCTAGACTGGACAAGGGGCAGTGCCTGGCAAGAGACAAGCAACTCAGGGCGGCACTACTAGTCCAACCTCCGAAACAAGGGCCCGAAGACCTGTCAGCAAGAGTAAAAACTCGACAAGAGCAAACCAGGGCGGCACTACTAGTCCGGCCACTGGAAGAGAAGCCACAAGGCCAATCAAGAAGGTATATATAAAGAGTAGTATACATTCAAGGTCCTAGCAAGTGAGGAGCTACAAGAACTAGACCAAGCTGAAAACAATGCCGCTGATGATCTTTAGGCGCAAGCGCCTTAGTAAAGATATCAGCTGTGTTGGCAGCGGAGGCCAAGTGTACTACGCAGGCCTCGCAGCATCGCTGTAGCTCACGAAAGAGGAAGTATTGCAGCTAGATGTGCTTCGTTCTGCCCTGGAGTCGAGGTTCCTAACACAGGAGGATCATGGCCCTGTTGTCAGCATACACGATCGGGGCAGAGCTAGGGCGCTCACCTAAGTCGGTGAGCAAGAAAGTCAGCCACCCGAGCTCCTGTGCCGCCATGACACCAGCGTAGATCTCAGCTTCAAGCTAGACTAGGCAACAAACGACGAGCGGGTGGACCTCCACATGGTGGCACTTGCACCAAGGCTAAAGCAGTAGCCCTGGAAGAACCTGAGTGCCTCAGCGTCGTCTGCCCAAGAAGCGTCTGTGTGACCAGTAAGAACCAGTCCCATGCCTAGAACCAGACGAACGGAGGATGGGAAGAGTCAGAAACCAGAGCGGCGGCGTAGTGAAGGCGGCGGGTAGAGGCAAAGTCAGCGACGGCAGCGACAAGCGCATCAAGACTCGAGATAGGAACAGACGGTTCGGTAACGAAGGAGGCAAGGACCCGATGACGCCTCAGCAGCGCAGCGAGCACTGCGGCATGCAGCGCGACGAGCCGCAGGCGGCGAGCGGGCCAGCGGCGTGCGAGCCGCGGCGAGCTGCAGGGAGCGAGCTGGCTGGCTGTGCGTGGCGGCGGTGTGCACTGCTAGCAGTGACGGGCGGCACGCGACGGGCAGCAGGGGGCAGCGCGAGCAGCAGGCTAGGACTGGGGCGCAGGCTAGGGTGGCAGACTAGGGCCTAACTTAGGCAAGGAGTGTGGGCTAATGGTAGGAGAGGAGCGGGGAGAACCTAGGGCAGAAGCGTGGAGGCTAGGAACTAACCTAGCTCGATACCATGTCAAAGAGAGAGAATGAATTGGCTAGCACAAGGAGACAGAGTTTGTATCTAGGTGTTGTACTCCCTATAATCTGCACCTAGCTAAGATATAGTTTATATACATCTAACAGATATATGAAGTCTAACAGTTGCATCAGCATCACCAAAGCCTGTATAGGAATTTGCCCTAAGGACGTGTATCAAGTGAGTAGAATACAGTAGCATGACGTCACGTTTTGGCGTCGAGTCACCGCTTTTCAACGCACATAAAACTTCCCAATCCTTCAAAACGTACTGTACCATGCTAGGACGTCACCTGGCGTCGTTTTCCTTACACTTGGTACACGCCCTAAGCTGACCTGACCAGGCCTTATGATAGGATTGAAAGTGGTCTACGTTATTAGGCCAGACCTCACTAATCACTTCTTCTCTCCGAGTGAAGTATAATTACGGTGTTCATTTATTCACTCTTCAAATCCCAGCCTCCAACGTTTTCCGAAAATCGCCAATGTTCTCGAAGCACTGTTCTTGCTGCAATTTTCTTTTATATATATATATATATATGTATATATATATATTGGAAACCTTGCACTATACGAATACAGTACAGAGATAACCTTCAATCGTAACTGGTACTGACGTGCACGAATATGCATAGTGGGATTTTGACGCCAGCTGATTCATTGCAGTTGAGAACGCCATTCTGAAACGAAATAGCTTGAAACAATCTCCTTCGAACATGCTCTCAGATGAGGGCCGAGTGTGGAAAGAGGATAGCCTAGGAAGAGGTTCGTAGGAACACGCTCCTAGTTTATGGTTTTAGGGCAAATTCGTGTGTTGAGTCATCCACGTGCTAGTGCGGGTTGGCTGAGAGTAACTCACAGGCACAAACTCGTGTCCCCAGGACCCCAGGCCCTCAGGCCTCCTGAGAAACCACGTGGGCCCCAGGGCAGCGACTGCCCCGGGGCCCAATCTACAGGGCCTCCACAGTGCCCAACACCCCTAGGACCCCACCACGGCAGCTGCCACTGCTGCTGCTGCTGATGCTGCGGCTGGTGGTGCTGGTGCTGGTGCTGCTGCTGCTGTGGCAGCCGCTACGACTGCTGCTGCGGTTGCGGCTCGGGGCAGGCAGCCCTGTAGCGTACCTCGAGGATGTGGAGGTGTGCAACGAGCTCACCAGTAATGTGGGCCTCCAGGAGCTCGCAGTCCACGTCCTGGCTCGCCAGCTACAGGCGGAGATCGAGAAGCCAGAGAGCGAAGTCAACCGCCCGGCCTTCGGCGTCCAGCCAAGAGACATTCTCGGACGAGGTCGTCATGCCGATAGGGAAGGCAGCGAGGAACTCCAGAACGAGGAGGAGACTAGTGGGAGGCACTAGGGGCTGCAGGAGCACGAACGGTGGCAGCGGCAGTGGTGGCTGTGGCCGGAGCGGCGGTCTGGCAGCTGGCGGCTGGAGGGGGGTTGGATGGCAGCTGGCGGATGGAAGGCACAAGGCGGCAGGCGGCCAGTGGCAGGCAGGCAGTAGGAGCTGACAGCAGCAGTGAGCGACAGGCGGGAGCAGCGAGTGGCAGGCCTGCGGCAGTGGCAGGCAGGCGGCAGGCGGGAGTGGCAGCGGCTACTAAATGGCAGTGGCGGCAGGCGAAGCATCGGCGGTGGCAGTAGGAGCAGCGGCGGCAACTGTAGGAGTGGCGGCGGTAGCAACTATAGCTGCTGGAGTTGCGGCGGCTGAAGTACCAGGCAGCAGCAGGAGGCAGCAGGCAGCAGAACGCGGCAGCGGGTGGCAGCAGGTGGCAGTGTCTAGTGGCCGGCGGCTGGCGGTTGGCTGGCAGCTGGCGGCGGGCCAGTGGCTGGCGGGAGGCTGGCAAGGAGCGGGGAGCTGGCTGGCGGCTGGCGGCTGGCTAGTGAAAGGCAGCTGGTGGCGAGCTGGCTGCTGGTCGGAGGCTGGCGGCTAGCTGGCTGGTGGCTGGCTGGCAACTAGCTGGGAGCGGGCGGCTGGCTGGCAGCTGGCTGGCGGCTGGCGGCTAGCTGGCTGGCGGCTGGCTAGCGGCTGGCTGGCTGCGGGCTGGCAGCTGGCTGGCGGCAGGCTGGCTGTTGGCTGGCTGGCGGCTGGCTGGCGGCTGGCTGGCGGCTGGCTGGCGGCTGGCGGCTACAGTAGCTGGTTGGCGGGGCTGCTGGCTGGCGGCTGGTTGGCTGCAAGCTGGCAGCGGGCGGCTGGCTGGCAGCTGGCTAACGGCAGGCTGGCGGCTGGCGGCTGGCTGGCTGCTGGCTGGCAGCGGGCAGCTGGCTGGTAGCTGGCTGGCAGTTTGCTGGCAGCTGCTCTGGCGGCGAGCTGGCAGCAGCAGGCTGGCGGCGAGCTAGCAGCGCGCTTCTGGCGGCGAGCTGGCAGCGAGTGAGCAGCAGTGAGGGAGTGGTGGGCAGCTGCTGGCAGCGAGCGAGCTAGCGGCAAGTGGGCGGCGGCGAGCTGCAAGCGAGCCGCTGGCGGCGGCTAGCAAACGTCGAGGTGCTGACGACGGCTAGCTGGCGGCGAACTGGTAGCAGCTAGCAAGCTGCTGGTGGTGGCGAGCTCGCGGCGAGTGAGCAGCGAGCGAGCTGGCGGCAAGCTGGCGGCGGCTCGCTGCAAGCGAGCTGCTGGCGGCGGCTAGCTAGCGGCGAGCGAGTAGCAGCTAGCGAGCTGCTGGTTGCGGCGAGCTGGCTGCGGCTGCTGGTGACGAGCTGGCAGAGAGCGAGCTGGCTGCTGGCTAGCGGCGGAGCGCTTCGAGCGAGCTGCTGGTGGCGGCTAGCTGGCGGCGAGCTGGCAGCGACTAGCACGCTGCTGGCGGCGGCGAGCTGGCGGCGGCTGGCAGGCAGGCTGGATGCTAAATGCGAGCAGCGCGGAGGCAGGGCAGCAGCCTAGGACGAGAGCTTAGGCTAGGGCACCGGCTAGAGCAACAAGCTAGAGTCTAACTAGGATTAAGGAGGCAGGCTAGGGTGGAAGGGGAGTGGATAGCGCCTAGGGTGGAAGCGTGACGGCTAGGAGCGAAACCTAGCTCTATACCATGTCAAGAGAATTGTTGACTACGGGAGCAAACACAGTTGGGTATATCTAAGAGTTGTACCCCCATATGAGTCTGAACCTTGGATAGGCTATAGTTAGTATATTTCCTAACACACATATGAGCGTGAACAGGTTTGCCTTTCGAAAGCTCCATGTTTTGTTTGATGTAATCTATTACAGCGCAATGTTACTAATGGAGTATGTAGCCTACTTTATATGGCGGAATACCTCCATGTATGGATATAGATATGTAATGACGCGTAACGCAGATTTACGAAAGGTTGTGTAAGGAATTTCCATTCCTTACTGAGTCGGCCGCTACCGCGTACACCCGAACACTTCGACTCGACACGTTCGACCTACATTTTCGGCCCAACCCTTTCTCGAGTCGCGCCCGACAGCGTCGCCACATTGCCAAACCTATCCACGTCCCGAGGTTATCGCTCTATTACGTCCACTCCTATATAACCTTGTGCTTTCATGGCAATAGTGACATTGTATTCTCACGTTATAGTACACTGACATTTTCTAAATCATAACAGCTGGTTGTCAAGATTATATAAGTTATATATAAATTGATAGGCTTGATAGTAGTTACTGAAACTTTCTGTAGAGGGTACAATCCCCTCCTTGTACTGCTCTCTCTTCCTAATCGACCCCTTTTCTCCCGACACTCTTCCTTCGCTCCTAGCTAAAACCCGCCGCCACATTCATGGCGGCATTGTTCCTTCCTACTGCCTAGCTCAGTTTCTAACATGGTATCGAGAGCAGGACGCCCTTCCTGGGCCAGCTCCCCTCCGTGCCTTCCGCTGCGTTCTCGTTCGTCAGTCGTTCCTGCCGTGCCGCCGTGGCGGCCATGTCGCATGGCTGCCACGCCGAGCAGCCGTGCTGGGCTTGCCGCCCTGACGTGGCGGCTCCGCCGTTCCACCTCCCCGTCGCGCCCCTCCTGGGCCCTGCCGTGCCTCCTAGCCCCTTCGTGCCCCTCCTGGGCCCTGCCGTGCCTCCTAGCCCCGTCGCGCCCCTCCTGGGCCCTGCCGTGCCTCCTAGCCCCGTCGCGCCTCTCCTGGGCCCTGCCGTGCCCCTTGCCCCGCCGTGCCCCTCCTGGGCCCCGTCGCGCCTCCTCCTCCCGCCAGTAAGCGCCGCGCCTATAGCGCCGCGCTGAAGTCCTGCAGCCCCACCACAGCAGCCCCACCACCTCTCCCTCCCCTGCATCTCCTCCTGCTCCTGCTGTAGCTGATGTCTTCGGCTCGGTCGTCGCCAGCCCGTGCCACACCGTCGAGGGCCCTCAGCCGCCGCAGTCGCCGCCTGTCCTCATCCACACAGCCGCCTTGAGCACGAGCTCCGCCGTTGTCGTCATTGAGGCCGCCCAGATGCGGCCAGCTGCCTCTCGTCCGGGGGTGTCATAGCCTAGCACGAGGGGTCGATACCCGGCTGCTCACGAGAATGAGGGTGTCCGGGGTTAGGGGGTGTGTGTGTGGGTTGGGTGGGTGTGTGACTACCAAGCCTAGGGGGTGTGTCAAGATTATATAAGTTATGTATAAATTGATAGGCTTGATAGTAGTTACTGAAACTTTCTGTAGAGGGTACAATCCCCTCCTTGTACTGCTCTCTCTTCCTAATCGACCCCTTTTCTCTCGACACTCTTCCTTCGCTCCTAGCTAAAACCCGCCGCCACATTCATGGCGGCATTGTTCCTTCCTACTACCTAGCTCAGTTTCTAACACTGGTATCAGAGCCCGACCTTTCTCGGAACCTTCCGTCAGTTTCCACTGCGGCGAGCACGTAAAATTTTGGATGGGGCTGCTGGCGACTACACTCGACAGGTGCGACGTGCTGCTGGGACGGGATTGGTTGCGACAGTACAACCCGAGAATCGACTGGACGACGGGCAGCTGCAGCATCAAGATCGATAGGCACTATCACGAATTACCGAAATGGACGGGACCCCGCCTGCGAAGTACCCAAGTCCACGCGATCACCTTCAAGCGCGCGATAAAAGCTGTGTGAAGCCGTTCCTCCGGATTTAGCGGAACTCATTCGAAGATACCCCGAGATTTTCCCGGACGACCTACCTGCCGGACTTCCCCCAAGCCGACCCGAAGGCCACCGCATCGAACTAGAACCAGGCGCACAACCGACAGTACAGCGACAATTTCGGCTCAGCCAACCGGAACTCGAGGAATTGCAGCAGCAGTTGGATTACCTCCTGACGAAAGGTTTTATCCGCCCAAGTACATCCCCATACGCCGCCCCCATACTGTTCACACCGAAAAAAGATGGCGGATTCCGAATGTGCATCGACTACCGCGCACTGAATCGCATCACCATCAAGTCCCGTTACCCGATCCCGCGAGCCGACGACCTACTCGACCAACTTCGCGGAGCCAAGTTCTTCTCGAAAATCGATCTGCGCGGCGGTTACCACCAAATTCGCGTCGCCGCCGAGGATTGCCACAAGACCGCCTTCCGAACCCGCTACGGCAGTTACGAATACTTGGTGATGCCTTTTGGGCTCACGAACGCGCCCTCGACTTTTCAGATGACCATGAACGGGGTTTTCCGCGAACTCCTGGATAATGCGTAATTATCTACCTCGACGACATCCTAATCTACAGCCGCAGCAGGGAGCAGCACTTAAAGGATCTTGATGCAGTCTTCGCGCTGCTGCACAAGAATCGGCTCATCACGAAAGGGTCTAAGTGCAATTTTCTTAAGCAAGAGTTGGAGTTTTTGGGCCACGTCGTCTCTACCGAAGGCGTGAAAATCGATCCTAGGAAAATCAAGACCATACAGGAATGGAAGCCGCCGACCAACCTCAAGGAACTCCAAAGTTTCTGGGTTTTGTCAACTACATCCGCCGCTTTATCCCCAATACGGCAGGGTTATCTGCCCTGCTAACAGACCGATTGAAGGATCACGATTGTTTTTGGTGGGGTGAGAAGCAACAAGCTGCATTCGACCAGCTCAAAATCGCCCTCACGTCCTCGCCCGTACTTCGCATCTCCGATCCCAACCGTCCATACGAAGTCGTCACAGACGCCAGCGACATCGCCATCGGTGCAGTTCTATTACAGGATTTCGGCGACGGGTTACAACCAGTCGCCTACGAATCACGGAAGCTGCAAGGCGCGGAGAAGAACTATACAGTGCACGACAAGGAGATGCTGGCGATCGTCCACGCGTTCAAGACCTGGCGGTGCTACCTGACCGGAGCTGACGTCACGGTGCGGACGGACCACAAATCCTTACAGTACCTGCGCGCCCAACCGAATCTCAACCCACGACAGATTCGATGGCTCGATTTCCTCGAGTCCAACTTCCACTACACCATCACCTACAAACGGGGTGCCAATAATATCGCCGATGCCTTGACCCGCCCTACAGTCCATACCGTCGCGATACTAATCGCCCAGACCAACCCATTACTTACGGGACTATTCACCCACGGCTACAAGATTGATCCCTTTTTCCGCTCAGGCATCCATCAACAGCATACCACAGCCACCGGGCCATATTTTTATAAGCGTGGCACTTCTCGCATTTGGGTACCAGGCTACGATTTACTTCGTACCCTCCTAATCCAGGAATCCCACGACAACCCTACCTCATGACATTTCGGTGTCGATAAAACCACGAAGATGTTGCAGCGGAATTATTACTGGCCGAACATGGCCGATGACGTGCGCAAGTACGTGTCCTCCTGCACTATCTGCCAGATCATGAAATCGTCGCATCAGCGAGCAGCCGGACTACTACAGCCGTTGGATCCACCCGAGCGACCCTGGCAACACGTCACGATGGACTACGTGACAGGACTGCCGGCCGACCCCAGCGGCAACGACGCCATCCTCGTGGTCGTGGACCGACTCACAAAAATGGCGCACTTCATCGCCTGCCAACAGACAATCACCGCCGAACAAACTGCGCAGCTGTTCATCGCGAACGTCATCCGACTGCACGGACTGCCCTCCGCCATCATTTCGGACCGAGACCCAAAATTCACATCGAATTTTTGGCGCCACCTGTGGGACCAGTTCGGCACCAAACTCCAATTTTCATCCGCCTACCACCCACAAACCGACGGGCAGACCGAACGCGTTAACCAAACCATGGAGCAGCTCATTCGCACTACCTGTACTGACCCCTCGACATGGGAGAAATCTCTACCGCTACTCGAATTCGCGTATAATAACGCGACCTCAGCCACAACCAATCACTCCCCATTTTTCCTCAACTACGGACAGGACCCGGTAGTACCCTCTACACCGAACATCGAGTCACCAGTGCCCTGGTCCCAGAAATTTGCTGAAGACATTCTCGCCACTCGCGAAAAAGCAGCTGAGGCCATTCGGAAAGCTAACCTAGTCGCAAGCCGACAAGCCGATCGACATCGACGCGACGCCAATTACAAAGTGAGCGATCTGGTCCTCCTCGACACTCGCAATTTGCGGCTGCCGATCCCGAGCAAACTCCGACCAAGATTCTACGGACCTTTCCAAGTGACAAACCTCGTGACACCTGTCACTGTCCACCTTCGGCTACCGGCTGATTGGCGCCATCACCCGGCTTTCCACGTCAGTCTTCTCCGACCCTACGTCCCGAGTTCGTCGGACTTGGCACGCAACCGTGGAGTACCGCAACTGACGCCTTTGCAGGAACCGACGACCGAGCCCTTGAAAATTCTCGGCCACCGCATCACCACACAGCTGAACCGTCGGATGGTTGATTTCCTCATCCGCTGGCACGATCGCACGTCCGAAGACGACAGTTGGGTGCCCCTCGCTGACCTAAGAATCACATCCGATTCTAACGGCATATTACCAGCGTCGGAATGTCTCCGATGCCCACGGCCTCGTTTAGGCGGGGGGGGTAGTGTAAGGAATTTCCATTCCTTACTGAGTCGGCCGCTACCGCGTACACCCGAACACTTCGACTCGTCACGTTCGGCCTACATTTTCGGCCCAACCCTTTCTCGAGTCGCGCCCGACAGCGTCGCCACATTGCCGAACCTATCCACGTCCCGAGGTTATCGCTCTACTACGTCCACTCCTATATAACCTTGTGCTTTCATGGCAATAGTGACGTTGTATTCTCACGTTATAGTACACTGACATTTTCTAAATCATAACAGGTTGGGTTCAGATCAGGCTTGTGATGGACTGCCTAGCCCTAACGTGTCTTCCGCTGGAATCTGTGGATCGCCGACCTCACCACCGGCACCACCATCCATTCCACCACATGGCTGCCTGACTGCTCTAGTGTCTCGCGGTGGTCGCCGCCAGTCGTGCAGCCAGCTGCAGCAGCCGCTCCCTCTCTGCTCGCTGCTGCCCTTTCTGTTCGCCGCTGCCCGCCGTCTTTTGCCCACTCCCTGCCGCAAATTCGTCCACTTCTGCGCGCTGCGCGCTCTCGCATTCTCTCGCGCGGGCTGTCTCCCAGGCGGGCAGCTTCCGCCTTATCCCCCCGAGCCCGCACGAGCGCTCTGGGCGACGAGCCGAGGCTCGACGCTGATAGTGCGGCGGGGAGGGCACGAGGGCAGGGGAGGACGGTGTGGGTGACGGGGGGAGGGAGAACAGCGAGGGAGGGCGGAAAAGGAGGGGCCGGAGGCCGCGGAGTGTGGCGGAGCGCGAGAAGCGCGGAGGGGGGGGAGGGTGTGGTAGAGGGGAGGGCAGCTCGTAACGGTGGCCGAGGGGGTGGGGGGGCAGCGGGAAGAAGGTGAGGAGAGAGTGGGGAGACAGGGGGGAGAGAGGGGGGAGAGAGGGGGGAGAGTGAGTGCGCGGAGCGGCAAGGCGCGGGTTGATGGAGGCGTTTTTCTGGGCGGTGTTCGGCGTGCTGGTGGCGTTGTGCGCGGGGCTGGAGGGCAGCAAGGGGCAGCGCGACAAGCTGCAGACGTCGCCCGCCTTCGAGGCGTTCAAGAACAACTACCTGCTCGTGTACTCGCTCATGATGGGTACGTACGGCTCATGATGGGTACGTACGGCTCATGATGGGTACGTACGGCTCATGATGGGTACGTACGGCTCATGATGGGTACGGCTCATGATGCGTACGGCTTTTAACGGGTGTGCTTGTGTGTCATTGTCCATATCTCCCGGCCCCCTTGTCCTTCACTCTCTCTCAACACCCCTCCTCCCGCCATCTCGTTTGCGTCTTCCGCTAGTCGTGCCACACCAGTGCCCTCGTGCCCCACCACACCAGTGCCCTCGTGCCTGTACCCTCTAAGTCTGCCACCTCCTTCTTCTTCCCTCACCCTTTCCTGTCCTCCCCTCCTTCGTCTCCCCCCCCCCCTCCCCCCCCAGCGGGCGACTGGCTGCAGGGCCCGTACGTGTACGCGCTGTACCAGCACTATGGGTACGACAAGGGCGACATCGGCCGCCTCTTCATCGCGGGCTTCGGTTCCTCCATGGTCTTCGGCACCATCGTGGGGTCGCTGGCCGACAAGCAGTAAGCATAGTGGGGTCGCTGGCCGACAAGAGTCTGTACGCATGACATTTCGTTGTGAACGCCATGAATTGGCACCTTTTCCTCATTCTCTCTGGACTCTCCACCCTCCCCGCTCTCAATGCCTCTCGCCTTCCTCCCTCCATCACATCCCCCTCCCTCCCTCCATCACATCCCCCTCCCTCGCTTCCCCATCCACCCCTCCCTCCACCCGCCCCCAGTGGGCGGCGGCGGGCGAGCATAACGTACTGCGTGGTGTACATGCTGTCGTGCGCCACCAAGCACTCGCCCGACTACCGCGTGCTGCTGCTGGGGCGCGTGCTGGGCGGCATCGCCACCTCGCTGCTCTTCTCTGCCTTCGAGAGCTGGCTCGTGGCGGAGCACTGCAAGGTGAGAGCTGGCTCGTGGCGGAGCACTCCAAGGTGAGAGCTGGCTCATGGCGGAGCACTGCAAGGTGAGAGCTGGCTCGTGGCGGAGCACTCCAAGGTGAGAGCTGGCTCATGGCGGAGCACTGCAAGGTGAGAGCTGGCTCGTGGCGGAGCACTGCAAGGTGAGAGCTGGCTCAGCGTGCCAGGGCTATGTGCCATTGCCAGGGCCATGTGCCATTGCCAGGGCCATGTGCCATTGCCAGGGCCATGTGCCATTGCCAGGGCCATGTGCCATTGCCAGGGCCATGTGCCATTGCCAGGGCCATGTGCCATTGCCAGGGCCATGTGCCATTGCCAGGGCCATATGCCATTGCCAGGGCCATGTGCCATTGCCAGGGCCATGTGCCATTGCCAGGGCCATGTGCCATTGCCAGGGCCATGTGCCATTGCCAGGGCCATGTGCCATGGATGATGGAGGGCTAGGTGTTGTGGACTGGTAGCACGCACAGGTTTCTGCCTGGTGTAGGCGCTATTGGCAAGACTCAATCGCGTTTCATCCGCTTCATCCACTTTCATCACCCACCCCCTTCCTCGTCTCCCCATCACCCCCCCCTCCCCCCACCAGCGCGGCTTTGACCCGCAGTGGCTGTCGGTGACGTTCTCCAAGGCCATCTTCCTGGGCAACGGGCTGGTCGCCATCCTCTCCGGGCTGCTCGCCAACGCCCTCGTCACCTCGCTCGCCCTCGGCCCCGTCGCGCCCTTCGACGCCGCCGCCCTCGTGCTGGCGCTGGGCATGGCCATCATCCTCGCCTCGTGGCCCGAGAACTACGGCGACGCCAGCGACTCCAAGGGGCTCATGGCGCAGTTCCAGGCCGCCGCCACCGCCATCGCCTCAGGTGCGCTCACAGTGCTCAGTGCTCGGATGAGCGAAAAAATCTTCAAGAAATCAAGTAATTTTTGGAGGCGTCAGCTGTTTACCCGATGGTTAGTCGCACACACTGATTGCGAAGCTGCGAGGTGGGTCTGGGTGGGTGTTGAGCCCACCCACATTTGTGGAGTGAGAGTGAAGCAGGCTGGCGTGGGTCTGTAGTGGAGCAAGTGAGCGGTGAGCCTGGCGTGCCAGGGCAGTGGGGACGTGGCGTGACAAGGCCCAAGGGACGTGTGGCATGACAAGGCCCAAGGGACGTGGCATGACAAGGCCCAAGGGACGTGGCATGACAAGGCCCAAGGGACGTGGCATGACAAGGCCCAAGGGACGTGGCATGACAAGGCCCAAGGGACGTGGCATGACAAGGCCCAAGAGACGTGGCATAACAAGGCCCAAGAGACGTGGCATGACAAGGCCCAAGATTCGTGGCATAAACGGTTGAGGAGATTCAAGCTGTGCTGCTGTACAAACCCCCACGGCACAGCAGCGGCTTCGCAAGCAGTGGCCGTGTGAGCGGTTTGAGTGCTGCGATTTATGGTCCACTCCCCTGCCAAGTGGCCTCAACCTCATGGCGAGCCCAGCCGACCTTGTGAGAAGTGGGGGCGTGAAGCATAGTGGGAGTGCAGGAGAAGGTGCGGACGGGCATGGCAGCCATGGTGGTTAAAATGGGAGAGTGTCCAAAGTGTGGGTGGGGAGGCCGCTCTCGTGCGCTGCGGTGGCGGCGGGCACCTCGTGCTGCCGTGCGTGAGGGCATGAGCAGCGCTACGGCATGAGCAGCGGTGCGGCGGGTGAGTGAGTGCACCTCGTGGTGAGCAGCAGGAGGTGAGGGCAGCAAGGGCAAGAGCAGCAGGGGGCGGCCCATAGGGAGCAGGTGTACATGCGTGCATCGCATCATTGCATCATCGCGCTGCACCGTTCATCTGGTGCGCCCGCTCCTCACAGTCCCGACAACTCGTTGTCCTCCCGCGCCTGTTACCTTGACAGTTTCATGGATCTATCTTGTGAAAATTTGCCGCTGCGCCCTCTTAGGCGTCTCGACCTCGTTGCCTTGGTCCCGTCGACTTCTACAGCCCTTGCGCCCTTGTCCAGATGCTAAGATCAAATCATGTTCCGGTGTCTTGCCATGATCTGTTCATTGCCCTCTGTACTTCAGTTGCTTTCCTCCTTGCCCTGCCACCCCCCCCAGACGAGAAGATCGCCTTGCTGGGCGCCATCCAGTCGCTGTTTGAAGGCAGCATGTACACTTTCGTCTTCCTCTGGACGCCAGCGCTCGCGCCGTCCTCGCAGCTCATCCCGCATGGCTTTGTGTTTGCCATCTTCATGCTCGCCTCCATGACCGGCTCCTCCCTGGCCGCGCGCCTCATGGCGCGCCCCCACCTGCGCGTCGAGCTCTACATGCAGATCGTCTTCGCTGTCGCCGCGCTCTCGCTGCTCGTGCCGCTCTTCGCCTTCGTCAGTAACCCCGGCCCTCTCGTCATCCCTGCACTCTCGTCGTCCCTACCTTCTCGTCATCCCTGCACTCTCGTCGTCCCTACCTTCTCGTCATCCCTGCACTCTCGTCGTCCCTACCTTCTCGTCATCCCTGCACTCTCGTCGTCCCTACCTTCTCGTCATCCCTGCACTCTCGTCGTCCCTACCTTCTCGTCATCCCTGCCCTCTCGTCGTCCCTACCTTCTCGTCATCCCTGCACTCTCGTCGTCCCTACCTTCTCGTCATCCCTGCACTCTCGTCGTCCCTACCTTCTCGTCATCCCTGCACTCTCGTCGTCGCTACCTTCTCGTCATCCCTGCACTCTCGTCGTCCCTACCTTCTCGTCATCCCTGCCCTCTCGTCGTCCCTACCTTCTCGTCATCCCTGCACTCTCGTCGTCGCTACCTTCTCGTCATCCCTGCACTCTCGTCGTCCCTACCTTCTCGTCATCCCTGCACTCTCGTCGTCCCTACCTTCTCGTCATCCCTGCACTCTCGTCGTCCCTACCTTCTCGTCATCCCTGCACTCTCGTCGTCCCTACCTTCTCGTCATCCCTGCACTCTCGTCGTCCCTACCTTCTCGTCATCCCTGCACTCTCGTCGTCGCTACCTTCTCGTCATCCCTGCACTCTCGTCGTCCCTACCTTCTCGTCATCCCTGCACTCTCGTCGTCCCTACCTTCTCGTCATCCCTGCACTCTCGTCGTCCCTACCTTCTCGTCATCCCTGCACTCTCGTCGTCCCTACCTTCTCGTCATCCCTGCACTCTCGTCGTCCCTACCTTCTCGTCATCCCTGCACTCTCGTCGTCCCTACCTTCTCGTCATCCCTGCACTCTCGTCGTCCCTACCCTCTCGTCATCCCTGCACTCTCGTCGTCCCTACCTTCTCGTCATCCCTGCACTCTCGTCGTCCCTACCTTCTCGTCATCCCTGCACTCTCGTCGTCCCTACCTCTCGTCATCCCTGCACTCTCGTCGTCCCTACCTTCTCGTCATCCCTGCACTCTCGTCGTCCCTACCTTCTCGTCATCCCTGCACTCTCGTCGTCCCTACCTTCTCGTCATCCCTGCACTCTCGTCGTCCCTACCTTCTCGTCATCCCTGCACTCTCGTCGTCCCTACCTTCTCGTCATCCCTGCACTCTCGTCGTCCCTACCTTCTCGTCATCCCTGCACTCTCGTCGTCCCTACCTTCTCGTCATCCCTGCACTCTCGTCGTCCCTACCTTCTCGTCATCCCTGCACTCTCGTCGTCCCTACCTTCTCGTCATCCCTGCACTCTCGTCGTCCCTACCTTCTCGTCATCCCTGCACTCTCGTCGTCCCTACCTTCTCGTCATCCCTGCACTCTCGTCGTCCTACCTTCTCGTCATCCCTGCACTCTCGTCGTCCCTACCTTCTCGTCATCCCTGCACTCTCGTCGTCCCTACCTTCTCGTCATCCCTGCACTCTCGTCGTCCCTACCTTCTCGTCATCCCTGCACTCTCGTCGTCCCTACCTTCTCGTCATCCCTGCACTCTCGTCGTCCCTACCTTCTCGTCATCCCTGCACTCTCGTCGTCCCCCCCCCCCCCTCTCGTCGTCCCTACCTTCTCGTCATCCTGCACTCTCGTCGTCCCTACCTTCTCGTCATCCCTGCACTCTCGTCGTCCCTACCTTCTCGTCATCCCTGCACTCTCGTCGTCCCTACCTTCTCGTCATCCCTGCACTCTCGTCGTCCCTACCTTCTCGTCATCCCTGCACTCTCGTCGTCCCTACCTTCTCGTCATCCCTGCACTCTCGTCGTCCCTACCTTCTCGTCATCCCTGCACTCTCGTCGTCCCTACCTTCTCGTCATCCCTGCACTCTCGTCGTCCCTACCTTCTCGTCATCCCTGCACTCTCGTCGTCCCTACCTTCTCGTCATCCCTGCACTCTCGTCGTCCCTACCTTCTCGTCATCCCTGCACTCTCGTCGTCCCTACCTTCTCGTCATCCCTGCACTCTCGTCGTCCCCTACCTTCTCGTCATCCCTGCACTCTCGTCGTCCCTACCTTCTCGTCATCCCTGCACTCTCGTCGTCCCTACCTTCTCGTCATCCCTGCACTCTCGTCGTCCCTACCTTCTCGTCATCCCTGCACTCTCGTCGTCCCTACCTTCTCGTCATCCCTGCACTCTCGTCGTCCCTACCTTCTCGTCATCCCTGCACTCTCGTCGTCCCTACCTTCTCGTCATCCCTGCACTCTCGTCGTCCCTACCTTCTCGTCATCCCTGCACTCTCGTCGTCCCTACCTTCTCGTCATCCCTGCACTCTCGTCGTCCCTACCTTCTCGTCATCCCTGCACTCTCGTCGTCCCTACCTTCTCGTCATCCCTGCACTCTCGTCGTCCCTACCTTCTCGTCATCTCTCGTCGTCCCTACCTTCTCGTCATCCCTGCACTCCCCCCCGTCCCTACCTTCTCGTCATCCCTGCACTCTCGTCGTCCCTACCTTCTCGTCATCCCTGCACTCTCGTCGTCCCTACCTTCTCGTCATCCCTGCACTCTCGTCGTCCCTACCTTCTCGTCATCCCTGCACTCTCGTCGTCCCTACCTTCTCGTCATCCCTGCACTCTCGTCGTCCCTACCTTCTCGTCATCCCTGCACTCTCGTCGTCCCTACCTTCTCGTCATCCCTGCACTCTCGTCGTCCCTACCTTCTCGTCATCCCTGCACTCTCGTCGTCCCTACCTTCTCGTCATCCCTGCACTCTCGTCGTCCCTACCTTCTCGTCATCCCTGCACTCTCGTCGTCCCTACCTTCTCGTCATCCCTGCACTCTCGTCGTCCCTACCTTCTCGTCATCCCTGCACTCTCGTCGTCCCTACCTTCTCGTCATCCCTGCACTCTCGTCGTCCCTACCTTCTCGTCATCCCTGCACTCTCGTCGTCCCTACCTTCTCGTCATCCCTGCACTCTCGTCGTCCCTACCTTCTCGTCATCCCTGCACTCTCGTCGTCCCTACCTTCTCGTCATCCCTGCACTCTCGTCGTCCCTACCTTCTCGTCATCCCTGCACTCTCGTCGTCCCTACCTTCTCGTCATCCCTGCACTCTCGTCGTCCCTACCTTCTCGTCATCCCTGCACTCTCGTCGTCCCTACCTTCTCGTCATCCCTGCACTCTCGTCGTCCCTACCTTCTCGTCATCCCTGCACTCTCGTCGTCCCTACCTTCTCGTCATCCCTGCACTCTCGTCGTCCCTACCTTCTCGTCATCCCTGCACTCTCGTCGTCCCTACCTTCTCGTCATCCCTGCACTCTCGTCGTCCCTACCTTCTCGTCATCCCTGCACTCTCGTCGTCCCTACCTTCTCGTCATCCCTGCACTCTCGTCGTCCCTACCTTCTCGTCATCCCTGCACTCTCGTCGTCCCTACCTTCTCGTCATCCCTGCACTCTCGTCGTCCCTACCTTCTCGTCATCCCTGCACTCTCGTCGTCCCTACCTTCTCGTCATCCCTGCACTCTCGTCGTCCCTACCTTCTCGTCATCCCTGCACTCTCGTCGTCCCTACCTTCTCGTCATCCCTGCACTCTCGTCGTCCCTACCTTCTCGTCATCCCTGCACTCTCGTCGTCCCTACCTTCTCGTCATCCCTGCACTCTCGTCGTCCCTACCTTCTCGTCATCCCTGCACTCTCGTCGTCCCTACCTTCTCGTCATCCCTGCACTCTCGTCGTCCCTACCTTCTCGTCATCCCTGCACTCTCGTCGTCCCTACCTTCTCGTCATCCCTGCACTCTCGTCGTCCCTACCTTCTCGTCATCCCTGCACTCTCGTCGTCCCTACCTTCTCGTCATCCCTGCACTCTCGTCGTCCCTACCTTCTCGTCATCCCTGCCACTCTCGTCGTCCCTACCTTCTCGTCATCCCTGCACTCTCGTCGTCCCTACCTTCTCGTCATCCCTGCACTCTCGTCGTCCCTACCTTCTCGTCATCCCTGCACTCTCGTCGTCCCTACCTTCTCGTCATCCCTGCACTCTCGTCGTCCCTACCTTCTCGTCATCCCTGCACTCTCGTCGTCCCTACCTTCTCGTCATCCCTGCACTCTCGTCGTCCCTACCTTCTCGTCATCCCTGCACTCTCGTCGTCCCTACCTTCTCGTCATCCCTGCACTCTCGTCGTCCCTACCTTCTCGTCATCCCTGCACTCTCGTCGTCCCTACCTTCTCGTCATCCCTGCACTCTCGTCGTCCCTACCTTCTCGTCATCCCTGCACTCTCGTCGTCCCTACCTTCTCGTCATCCCTGCACTCTCGTCGTCCCTACCTTCTCGTCATCCCTGCACTCTCGTCGTCCCTACCTTCTCGTCATCCCTGCACTCTCGTCGTCCCTACCTTCTCGTCATCCCTGCACTCTCGTCGTCCCTACCTTCTCGTCATCCCTGCACTCTCGTCGTCCCTACCTTCTCGTCATCCCTGCACTCTCGTCGTCCCTACCTTCTCGTCATCCCTGCACTCTCGTCGTCCCTACCTTCTCGTCATCCCTGCACTCTCGTCGTCCCTACCTTCTCGTCATCCCTGCACTCTCGTCGTCCCTACCTTCTCGTCATCCCTGCACTCTCGTCGTCCCTACCTTCTCGTCATCCCTGCACTCTCGTCGTCCCTACCTTCTCGTCATCCCTGCACTCTCGTCGTCCCTACCTTCTCGTCATCCCTGCACTCTCGTCGTCCCTACCTTCTCGTCATCCCTGCACTCTCGTCGTCCCTACCTTCCGTCATCCCCCCCCCCTACCTTCTCGTCATCCCTGCACTCTCGTCGTCCCTACCTTCTCGTCATCCCTGCACTCTCGTCGTCCCTACCTTCTCGTCATCCCTGCACTCTCGTCGTCCCTACCTTCTCGTCATCCCTGCACTCTCGTCGTCCCTACCTTCTCGTCATCCCTGCACTCTCGTCGTCCCTACCCCCCCCCCCCTTCTCGTCATCCCTGCACTCTCGTCGTCCCTACCTTCTCGTCATCCCTGCACTCTCGTCGTCCCTACCTTCTCGTCATCCCTGCACTCTCGTCGTCCCTACCTTCTCGTCATCCCTGCACTCTCGTCGTCCCTACCTTCTCGTCATCCCTGCACTCTCGTCGTCCCTACCTTCTCGTCATCCCTGCACTCTCGTCGTCCCTACCTTCTCGTCATCCCTGCACTCTCGTCGTCCCTACCTTCTCGTCATCCCTGCACTCTCGTCGTCCCTACCTTCTCGTCATCCCTGCACTCTCGTCGTCCCTACCTTCTCGTCATCCCTGCACTCTCGTCGTCCCTACCTTCTCGTCATCCCTGCACTCTCGTCGTCCCTACCTTCTCGTCATCCCTGCACTCTCGTCGTCCCTACCCTCTCCCCCTCCGTCGTCCCTACCTTCTCGTCATCCCTGCACTCTCGTCGTCCCTACCTTCTCGTCATCCCTGCACTCTCGTCGTCCCTACCTTCTCGTCATCCCTGCACTCTCGTCGTCCCTACCTTCTCGTCATCCCTGCACTCTCGTCGTCCCTACCTTCTCGTCATCCCTGCACTCTCGTCGTCCCTACCTTCTCGTCATCCCTGCACTCTCGTCGTCCCTACCTTCTCGTCATCCCTGCACTCTCGTCGTCCCTACCTTCTCGTCATCCCTGCACTCTCGTCGTCCCTACCTTCTCGTCATCCCTGCACTCTCGTCGTCCCTACCTTCTCGTCATCCCTGCACTCTCGTCGTCCCTACCTTCTCGTCATCCCTGCACTCTCGTCGTCCCTACCTTCTCGTCATCCCTGCACTCTCGTCGTCCCTACCTTCTCGTCATCCCTGCACTCTCGTCGTCCCTACCTTCTCGTCATCCCTGCACTCTCGTCGTCCCTACCTTCTCGTCATCCCTGCACTCTCGTCGTCCCTACCTTCTCGTCATCCCTGCACTCTCGTCGTCCCTACCTTCTCGTCATCCCTGCACTCTCGTCGTCCCTACCTTCTCGTCATCCCTGCACTCTCGTCGTCCCTCCTCCCCCCTCTCGTCGTCCCTACCTTCTCGTCATCCCTGCACTCTCGTCGTCCCTACCTTCTCGTCATCCCTGCACTCTCGTCGTCCCTACCTTCTCGTCATCCCTGCACTCTCGTCGTCCCTACCTTCTCGTCATCCCTGCACTCTCGTCGTCCCTACCTTCTCGTCATCCCTGCACTCTCGTCGTCCCTACCTTCTCGTCATCCCTGCACTCTCGTCGTCCCTACCCTCTCGTCATCCCTGCACTCTCGTCGTCCCTACCTTCTCGTCATCCCTGCACTCTCGTCGTCCCTACCTTCTCGTCATCCCTGCACTCTCGTCGTCCCTACCTTCTCGTCATCCCTGCACTCTCGTCGTCCCTACCTTCTCGTCATCCCTGCACTCTCGTCGTCCCTACCTTCTCGTCATCCCTGCACTCTCGTCGTCCCTACCTTCTCGTCATCCCTGCACTCTCGTCGTCCCTACCTTCTCGTCATCCCTGCACTCTCGTCGTCCCTACCTTCTCGTCATCCCTGCACTCTCGTCGTCCCTACCTTCTCGTCATCCCTGCACTCTCGTCGTCCCTACCTTCTCGTCATCCCTGCACTCTCGTCGTCCCTACCTTCTCGTCATCCCTGCACTCTCGTCGTCCCTACCTTCTCGTCATCCCTGCACTCTCGTCGTCCCTACCTTCTCGTCATCCCTGCACTCTCGTCGTCCCTACCTTCTCGTCATCCCTGCACTCTCGTCGTCCCTACCTTCTCGTCATCCCTGCACTCTCGTCGTCCCTACCTTCTCGTCATCCCTGCACTCTCGTCGTCCCTACCTTCTCGTCATCCCTGCACTCTCGTCGTCCCTACCTTCTCGTCATCCCTGCACTCTCGTCGTCCCTACCTTCTCGTCATCCCTGCACTCTCGTCGTCCCTACCTTCTCGTCATCCCTGCACTCTCGTCGTCCCTACCCTCTCGTCATCCCTGCACTCTCGTCGTCCCTACCTTCTCGTCATCCCTGCACTCTCGTCGTCCCTACCTTCTCGTCATCCCTGCACTCTCGTCGTCCCTACCTTCTCGTCATCCCTGCACTCTCGTCGTCCCTACCTTCTCGTCATCCCTGCACTCTCGTCGTCCCTACCTTCTCGTCATCCCTGCACTCTCGTCGTCCCTACCTTCTCGTCATCCCTGCACTCTCGTCGTCCCTACCTTCTCGTCATCCCTGCACTCTCGTCGTCCCTACCTTCTCGTCATCCCTGCACTCTCGTCGTCCCTACCTTCTCGTCATCCCTGCACTCTCGTCGTCCCTACCTTCTCGTCATCCCTGCACTCTCGTCGTCCCTACCTTCTCGTCATCCCTGCACTCTCGTCGTCCCTACCTCGTCATCCCTGCCTCTCGTCGTCCCTACCTTCTCGTCATCCCTGCACTCTCGTCGTCCCTACCTTCTCGTCATCCCTGCACTCTCGTCGTCCCTACCTTCTCGTCATCCCTGCACTCTCGTCGTCCCTACCTTCTCGTCATCCCTGCACTCTCGTCGTCCCTACCTTCTCGTCATCCCTGCACTCTCGTCGTCCCTACCTTCTCGTCATCCCTGCACTCTCGTCGTCCCTACCTTCTCGTCATCCCTGCACTCTCGTCGTCCCTACCTTCTCGTCATCCCTGCACTCTCGTCGTCCCTACCTTCTCGTCATCCCTGCACTCTCGTCGTCCCTACCTTCTCGTCATCCCTGCACTCTCGTCGTCCCTACCTTCTCGTCATCCCTGCACTCTCGTCGTCCCTACCTTCTCGTCATCCCTGCACTCTCGTCGTCCCTACCTTCTCGTCATCCCTGCACTCTCGTCGTCCCTACCCTCTCGTCATCCCTGCACTCTCGTCGTCCCTACCTTCTCGTCATCCCTGCACTCTCGTCGTCCCTACCTTCTCGTCATCCCTGCACTCTCGTCGTCCCTACCTTCTCGTCATCCCTGCACTCTCGTCGTCCCTACCTTCTCGTCATCCCTGCACTCTCGTCGTCCCTACCTTCTCGTCATCCCTGCACTCTCGTCGTCCCTACCTTCTCGTCATCCCTGCACTCTCGTCGTCCCTACCTTCTCGTCATCCCTGCACTCTCGTCGTCCCTACCCTTCTCGTCATCCCTGCACTCTCGTCGTCCCTACCTTCTCGTCATCCCTGCACTCTCGTCGTCCCTACCTTCTCGTCATCCCTGCACTCTCGTCGTCCCTACCTTCTCGTCATCCCTGCACTCTCGTCGTCCCTACCTTCTCGTCATCCCTGCACTCTCGTCGTCCCTACCTTCTCGTCATCCCTGCACTCTCGTCGTCCCTACCTTCTCGTCATCCCTGCACTCTCGTCGTCCCTACCTTCTCGTCATCCCTGCACTCTCGTCGTCCCTACCCTCTCGTCATCCCTGCACTCTCGTCGTCCCTACCTTCTCGTCATCCCTGCACTCTCGTCGTCCCTACCTTCTCGTCATCCCTGCACTCTCGTCGTCCCTACCTTCTCGTCATCCCTGCACTCTCGTCGTCCCTACCCTCTCGTCATCCCTGCACTCTCGTCGTCCCTACCTTCTCGTCATCCCTGCACTCTCGTCGTCCCTACCCTCTCGTCATCCCTGCACTCTCGTCGTCCCTACCTTCTCGTCATCCCTGCACTCTCGTCGTCCCTACCCTCTCGTCATCCCTGCACTCTCGTCGTCCCTACCTTCTCGTCATCCCTGCCCTCTCGTCGTCCCTACCTTCTCGTCATCCCTGCACTCTCGTCGTCCCTACCTTCTCGTCATCCCTGCACTCTCGTCGTCCCTACCCTCTCGTCATCCCTGCACTCTCGTCGTCCCTACCTTCTCGTCATCCCTGCACTCTCGTCGTCCCTACCCTCTCGTCATCCCTGCACTCTCGTCGTCCCTACCTTCTCGTCATCCCTGCACTCTCGTCGTCCCTACCTTCTCGTCATCCCTGCACTCTCGTCGTCCCTACCTTCTCGTCATCCCTGCACTCTCCTCGCGCGTGCCCGCCGCGTTCACATTCCTTGGACGTAGAGTTTCTGTTCGTTGTTTCTTGGATTTATGCCATCAGTTGTTCGTTCCCAATTATTGTTGCGTTGGATCTGCGCCATTGTAGCCTTCAACTGCATTTTCCACCTCACTTCTATTTTATCTTGACGTTTTGCTTCTGCTGCTCCGTGCTTTTGGTTCGTTTCACCATTCACTCCCACTTGAGAGCCCAATCTAGGTTCTTCCTGGTCCGTGTCTCCTCTTTCCCCGTCATCCATTTGCACAGTTTGTGTTGGAGCCCGTCGCACCTGACGGCGGGGGCATCACGCCCGGGGGGCGCGTGCAGCTGGTGGGGTTCTGTGTGTTTGAGGTGTGTGTGGGCGTGTTCTGGCCGTCCATCATGAAGATGCGCGCGCAGTTCATCCCCGAGGAGGCGCGCTCCACCATCATGAACTTCTTCCGCATCCCGCTCAACTGCTTCGTCTGCATCGTGCTCTACAATGTGCGTCATGTGCCCTGTCACTCTGCTTTATAATGTTAATGTACGTGTGGTCTATAATGTACGTGTGCTCTGCATTTTGTGTGTGCCACAGTGTGTTGCTGCAATCAATGTCTTCCACACTCCACGCTGATTCCTACCCCAATACATTTCCCCTCTTCTCAACGCCATTCCATCCCCCCCCCCCCCCTTCCCCCAGGTGAGCGCGTTCCCCATCACGGCCATGTTCGGCATGTGCGCCATCTTCCTCGCCATGGCCGCTGTCCTGCAGCGCCGCCTCTTCGCCATCTCCGCGCCCGCCCGCCCCGACAAGCCCGTCTGCCACTGTGAGCATAGTGGTCTCTGTGTGTGTAGTCTGTGCATCATTCGAAAGGCAGACATCACAAGTGAAAGAACTTGCGTGCAAGACTTCAATGTGGATGTGAGCGTAGTATTCTGTGAATGTATTCTCATTGCGTGCCCATGTGCTTGTGTGCAGCTGATCCCGGCGAGGGTAAGACGCGTGAGACTGAGCAAGAGCCGCTGCTGTGAATTCCATGCTTGGGAGACCGCCAATGCTGTGCCGGCCATTCCAAAGGACACCACACCACAGCCCCCCAGAGGAGATTTGAGCCCTATTTTCTTTCACAATAACAACAAAAGTGGCAGCTATAGAGATGATTACAATGAATCGAATGCACCCGGATGTAAGACATTGATGTCTAAGCTTACATGTCCCCGAAAATGCCTATTATTCATATTGATTTAGCTGCCTGGGCTCGGTACATTCCCCTTAAAACCCCGCGGCAAAATAGCAGAGGCGTTATCAAGCTGGGATGGGACCCCTTGTCTACGGCCTGAGGGTACAACTCCTTATACTTGTATCTCCCCCTCTCCCTTCCTAGTCCAACATTTCCTTGCTACTCTAACATGGCATCTAGAGCTAGGCTAGTTTCCCCCCTCGCGCTTCCGCCCCTAGCTCCTAGCCTACTTCCTAGGCTCGAGTCGCCCCCTCACCTCCTAGCAGCCCGCCCCTAGTCCTAGTCTCCTTCGTCTCTCCCTTACTGCGCTGCTCACAGACCGCCCGCTGCCAGCAAGCAGCCGGCTCGCTGCTCGCCGCCAGCTAGCCAGCTCGCCGCCCCAGCTCGCATCAGCCCGTGCCTGCTTGCGCCAGCCCATGCAGCTCGCCCGCCGCACAGCTCGCCGCGTAGCTTGCCCGCCGCTCGCCGCCCGCCAGCGCAGCTCGCCCGCTGTGCGGCTCGCACGCCCGCTCGCAGCTCGCCCGCGCCGCTCGCCCGCCGCGCAGCCAGCTCGCCCGCTGCCGGCCGCCCGCCAGCGGCCCGCCGCCCGCTCACTTGCAGCTCTCCTGGGCCGCTCGCCCGCTGCTCAAATCGCTCGCCTACGCCACTCGCCCACTGCGCAACTCGCTCGCCCGCTGCTCGCAGCTCGCCCACAGCTCGTTTGCTCGCCTGCCGCTCGCTCGCCCGCTGCTCGCTTGCTTGCACTGCGCTGGCTCCCCCGCTGCCCCTTGCCAGCAGCCCACCAGCGGCTTGCCGCCAGCAACTCGCACCCAGCAGCGCACTTCCGGCCCCTTCCTAGCGGGCCCCTGCCTGCGGCTCGCCCGCTGCCCACTGCCAGCAGCCCACCAGCAGCTTGCCGCCAGCAGCGCACCACCAGCAGCTCGCCACCACGAGCCCGCTAGCATCCTCTCACTGCTGCCCTCCGCGCCCCTGCAGCTCGCCACCTACTGCTGCCTACTGCAGATCGCCACTGCTGCCGCTGCTTCCCCTCGCAGCCAGCTGCCGCCATGGCGACCACGCCTGCCTCTGTCCTCCGCCTGGATGTCGAGGGTCGCGCGCTTGGCTTCTCTGCCTGGCTGGTCGCCCTCCGCCACCAGCTCAAGTCTATTCGCCAGGACGGCCAGGCCCTGGTGGCCCACACTTCGGGTACGTTGCTCGCTCCCCCAGAGCCCACCGTTTTTGCTGCTGACGCGACTTCCGAGCAGCGGGCGACGCACGAGAGTGCCCTAGCTGCCCTCTTTGTCTGGGAGTCCCACGACACAGCTGCGCGGTAGTCACGAGGGCCCTTCCCTCAGACGAGCAGACTCATTTTGAGACTCTAGAGACTGCTAAGGAAATCTGGGACGCCGTTGTCGTTCGCTACTCTACCCAGTCCTCTACTACCCTAGGTCGCCTCCTGCTGCCGTTTCTTTTCCCCGACCTAGCCTCCTTCTCCACTGTCGCGGACCTAGTTGCGCACTTGCACTCCCTCGAGGCTCGCTGGCGTGCAGCCTGCCCCGAGGACCAGCGCACCACCCAATTCCCGCCCATCTACATGACCCTGTACCTCCTTGCCACCCGCCTCCCTGACCACCTCGCCCCTGCACGTACTAGCTGCTGACCTGGCCGGCCAGGTCTGCGGGCGCACGGGCCACCCCGCCACTCGCTGCTATCGCCGCCTGGATGACCTCTACCGTCGCCAGTTTGGACTCGAGCAGCAGGTACCTCACTGGCCCTCTTTTCTTCATCGTGGCATTCAGATCTTTGATCTCGATATGATTCAGATAGGACATGCCACGTACTCTATGTAAGTTGATGATTCTAGTGTTGCTAGTTCCTTTTATCCTGCTGTTTGTAATATAGGATCCACAGCAGTGTATAGCCTAAGATCTCCTAGCATCAGGCGTAGGCTCTCCTAGCATTCCCTCAGTGGCCCCCGCTATGGCAGCCCTCTCCTTAACACTAAACATTGGCACGTCCCACTGCTTTTTCCAAGATAGTACTGCTCTCGACCCGCTTCCTGCAACAGTACCGATCTCCGTAGCTGTCTCTCCTGCCATAGTAGTCACACGCAGCTCCACCGCTCTCCCCTACCAGCTGTCCCCTCTAGCTCCCTCATAGGTTTGCACATCCCTATGTTTGCCAGGAACCTAGCTGGTGTAGGTCACATCCAGGACCTAGGAGTCACCACCACTTTTTCTGGCCACAAGAGACACGCAGCCTGTACGAACACAGCCACATGTGCCCGTCTAGCCACTTTTGACCGTGACCCAGCATCCGTTCTCTTCACACTGCAAACATAGTCCATCCCAGTTGCTGCATCCTCTGAGGCAGCCACGTCCTGCTCCTGTTGCTCCCTCGCCGACCCGACCCTTCTGTGGTACCATCGCTTAGGTCACCCTACTCTCCCGCATCTAAGGCACATGTCCCAGCACAATCAAATCACTGGTCTTCCTGCATCGCTCCCAGCCCTACCTGCATCGGCAGCCCCCCTGTGCACCTCTTGCGTCGAGAGCCGGCAGCGCATCGCTCCTCACTCCTCGTTTCCTCTTACCACAGCACCGCTACAAACACTGCACCTGGACGTTTGGGGCCCTGCCCCGGTCCATGGTCTTAGCAGGGAGCGCTTCCTTCTCGTTGTTGTTGACAACTTTACGTGCTTCACCACGGTGTTCCCGTTGGAGCAGAAGGCCGACATGTGTGACGTTTTCATCCCGTGGCTACTCGTTGCCCGAACCCAGCGCCGCCTGCCCGTGGTCCGTTTGCATTCTGACCGTGATGACGAGTTCGCCTCCGGCAGTCGTGAAGTGTTTTGCTATGCGGAGGGCATCACCCAGATGTACACACTGCCGGACTTCTCGCAGCAGAATGGGGTCGCTGAGCGAGGAATCGGCCTGGTCATGGAGGCAGCTCGCAGCTCCTTGGTCCACGCTAGTGCACCCCATTTTCTGTGGCCGTTCGCAGTGCGCTACGCAGCTCACCAGCTTAACCTGTGGTAGCGCTCCTTATGTCCACAGGTTTCACCGACCCTCCTCTCGACTGGGTCCCCTGGTGACGCCTCTGCGTTCCACGTCTGGGGCAACCTTGCTCACGACCACGCCACTGGCATGGACAAGCTCTCAGCCCGCACTCTCCCCAGTGTCGTCCTCAGGTTTCCGTTCGACGCCCTGACTGGCTGTTTTACCACCCGGTACACCACCGCGTCTACCGCTCGCGTGACTTTACCTTCTACGAGACAGTCCCGACTACACCCACTTCCCTCACCGTGACTTTTGTGTCCCTCCTCCTCCTCTCTTTCTCGCCCTTTCCCCATGTGCCGCACCCCTCCCACCCCACCCGGCCGTGTCTGATGTCTCTCACGCCACCCCGTTCCCCTCGGTTGGGCCCATGGGGGAGTCTGCTGAATATGGGGACCCCCATCGCTGGGGGTGCATCTGCCAACTCTGCGGCACCTTCTGCCCCAGCCTCGATGCCCCAGGCACCTCAGCCGCCTCCCCCCTCGCCCTCAGCAGCAGCAGCAGCCGCAGCCGTAGCAGCGGGGGACAGTGGGCTCTGGGGGTGCTGGTTTTGGGAGTGGTGACTCTGGGGGTGCTGGTTCTGCGGGTGCTGGTTCTGCGGGTGGTACATCGGGGGGTGCTAGTCCTGGGGGTGCTGTTTTGGAGAGTACAGGTGGTAGCCAAGGTGGGGCTGGAGGTCCTGGAGTGGACAAGGAGCAGCAGCAGCAGCTGCAGCAGTCTGCCCTTCATCTCCTTGGCCTCCCCTCCGATTCCTTTGACCGACTGCGCGTCCCTCCTACTGTGACTCCCCTCCCGCCTGACCCTATCTACGGCCTGCTGTTTTTCTCGCCCGGGCTCCTCTCCGGCTTGTTTCCCCCCTCGCTCTCCTTCGTCCCTTGTCATGTCCCCCTTTCCCCCTCGTCCCCAGTCCCCCATCCTTCCCACTAGTTCCATCGTCCCCTTAGTGGTCTTCCTGTCTCTCCTCGTCGTAGTTTCCACCCTATGGTCCTTCGTTCTCGTGCTCCTCTAGTCCCCGTTCTTCCGTTTCCTCCCCATTCGTCATTCCCGCTGTCCCCTGCTCCTCCCTCTAACCCTGCTCGCACTGCTCGTCCAGTCATCTTCCGCTTGCTCGTGTCCCTTGTCACTGACCATGCCGCTCCTCCTGAGGCTGTCTGTGCGCTTGTCGCTGCTGTCGCTCACTTCGCTGGTAGCCACCGTCTTGTCTGCACTGCCGCTCTGGTCTCTGACCCTGCCCGTCCTCCGTCCGTCAGGGATGCACCTGCCCCTGGCAGTGACATACTAGAGGACAGGCAGTACGAGCTGTCTTACCTTGCTGCCGGTGTACCCCATCTCTGCGCCATGCTTGTGTCCCACTGAGGGTGACCAGGACGCCCTAAACATCCCTACCTCGCGCTCGTATGTTGAGGCAGTTTCGGGTGATTGGACAGACCAGTGGATACAGGCCATGGAGGCAAAGATGGCATCTAATAGACCCAATGGCACTTAAGTCGAGGCAGTTCCTTCACCTAGAGCGAACGTAGTCGATGGCATGTGGATCTATAAGGTGGCCTGGAGAGCCGCCGCAGTTCAAGGCGCGGTATGTGGCTAGAAGCTTCAGTCAGCGAGAGGGTGTGGATTTCTTCCAGACCTTCTCCCCCACCCTGAAGATGACCACTCTTTGGGTGCTCCTCCATGTAGCTGCACAGCGTGACTTTAAGCTCCAATCTCTGGACTACTCCACAGTCTTCCTGCAGGGCAGGCTTTGCGAGCAAATCTTTTTGTGGCGCCTACCAGGCATTACTGGGTCCTTTGCTCCTGGGACCCAGTGGAGCCTACACCGCCCTGTCTACGGTATATGCCAGGCGCCCCATGAGTGGCACGACAAGCTCTGCACTACACTCGCAGCTCTCCACTTCTTCCCACCCTCTGCTGACCCCTCGCGCTTTGTTCGTGCTGGTTAGTCTCCGTTCTACATACTCGTGTACGTAGACGACCTTATCTTTG